CAATATAACATTATTAGCAAAGAAAAAAAAAAAGTTGAGAGAAGCGGTAAAATTCAAAATATATATTTTGCCCTACCATTTTGCCCTTCAGTTTACAAGTGGCCCTACTAAAGGGTGGTACCGAGGATATGTATACAAGTGCCTGCTTTCCCAGCCTTCGCTCCCCTCTACACCCCCCAAAACGTGCACACTCACTCCCTCTCTCTCTCACACGCATATACACTCACACATACACTCTCAAACACACTTTCTCTCACACATACACACATGTTCACACCACACACCACTCACACTCTCACTTATATACTTTCACACACAGCTCACACATGCTCTCTCACATGCTGTCTCACACAGATTTGCACACTCCACACTTCTCTCTCACACACACCTTTCTCCACACGTTTTGTTCTGGCTGGTGACCTTCTGTCACCACAGTTTTCCAGGGAGCTTCAGGAGTGGCACGTGCTGGCATCAGGTAAACCCTTTTGATAACAAACCTCCTCCCTGGCTGAAACCGCTCGCTGGCTCTGCCCGTCCTCTGTCACGGCTGGTTCTGGGCGTCTCCATGAACTGCCTAGAGGGACTGGCTGGGCCACTGCCCCCACTGACTGTCAGGGGCCTGCTGGGCCATGGTTCAGTCTCTGTGCTGACCTAGAAAAGCGAGCTGAGCCATCAAGTCCCCCCTACTCCCAGCCACTCTGGGGGAGCCTGAAGAGTGGTCCTGGGGTGCTCACACCTGGCGGTAGTGGGCACAGCCAGGCTCTGGCTCGGGGCTCCCAGGGCGGATGTCTGCTATATTCCTGGGCGCACCTGGGGCAGAAAGCAGGCAGAACAGTTCTTAAGGGCTCCTGGCAGGTAAGCAGCGCTGAGTAGTGGCTGGTAGGGGTGGGGAGGGAGATCCACTCCCATGCTTTGGGAGGAGGTTTAGGCTCTGGGACCATGAGGCAAGAGATGTATATGTGAGTGAGCGTGCAGTGCGTGCGTGTGTGTGTGTGTGTGAGAGCGAGAGTGAGAGAGACAGAGAGAGATAGAGACAGAGTCTGCTAAACCCACTCCACCATCCTCCAGTGACAGGCTTCCTGAGGCATCCTTTCGTCATAGTGGCTCCAGTTCACTGAGTGCCGCTGCTGTGTGCCAGTCCCAGGGCCTAGCCCTTTCCAGGCATTATCTTATTTGAGCCTCACAACAACCTTGTGAGGTGGATAATATTTCCATTTTCAGATGAGGAACCTGAGGGTCAGAGAGGTTAAGTACCTTGCCCAAAGTCACACAGCCTGGAAGTGGCCCATCTTTCTGACCTTAACCAAGAGCCGTTTCTCAAGCTCCACAATAACACACCTCCAACACATGGAGACTCAGAACTCGAATGTACACGCCATCTCCCCCAAAGGAATGCAGGGAGTCTGGAGACAGTCACCTGGTCTGAGACCTGTGCAGTGGGGGGTGCTGTAGGGGCTGCAGGGGGTGCCAGCCATGGGGTCCATCTGGCTTTGGAATTTTCCACCAACCCCACCACTCATTCTGACATATCTTCCAGGCACACCCTTCTGTTCCCCCCACCAAACCTGAGACCACATTCTAGAATCCCAGTGCAAGCCCCTCACCCTCCCACCACAGTCCCTTTCAGCTGCAGGGTCATCTACACAATGGGGCCAATGCTGCCCTCACGAGGTTGTCATGAGAAACGTGGAACATGTGGAAGCCACTGAGTACACACTTGCTGTAAGTGTTCAATACATTGCTTCCAAAAGAAAAGAACCAAAAACCAAAGCAAACTCACTGCCGTCGAGTCAGAACTGACCCACAGCGACCCCTCCTTGGGTTTCCAAGGCAGTATCACTATGGAAGTAGATTGTTCAAACTTCCTTCCCAGGAGGGGCTGGTGAGTTTGAACCTCCAGCCTTCCGGTTAGCAGCCACATGCCTTAGGCACTACGCATACCTGGATATAAGGTACCCAGGACCCAGGCACGGCTTCAGTGCTTGACATGTATTCTCTCATGGAATCATCTCAACAAGCCCTCAAGACAGGCAAGACTTTCATCCAGATGATGAGGACAGGACTCAGAGAGGCTAAGCACTGGCCTGAAGTCACACAGCCTAGTGCAGAGCTGAGCATCAGGCCAGGCCTGTGAGGCCCCACTGCCCCGCACGGGGTAGGCCAGTGCCCAGCATGGGGAGGGAGCTCTCTGGCAGGGGCAGAACGCATGTTTTGTGCACAACCATAGGGTCTGGGTGTCTTTCTGGGTCTGAGGGGTCTTGATGGTGAGCAGGGTGCCTGGGTTACGGGCTGTCTGAGGAGGTGCTGGCAGGCTGGCAGAGTTCTGAGAAGCCAGGCCTGAGTCACTCCACTGTGACCCAACCAGCCCGGCCGATACTCCCGACAGGGCCTCCCTGAGGCTGAGGAATGCTGCCCAGAGTGTGGGCGCGCTTCTCCCATCTTCGTTCTAGTGCACATGGCTCTCCAGGAAGCTGAGAGGTGGCTACTTCATAAAGAGGCTTGAAAGTGGGGCTTACACAAGAGACTACTCTCTCTTGCTTTTTGCTTTCTTCAGAGGCGTTCCCTGCACCTAAATGAGGGGACAGTGAACTAGGTGTTCTGTTTCAGACTAGCTTATCCCTCAGGTACTAAGTTATTTGCTCATGCAAGCATTTATGTATTTTTCATTTATTCATTTACTTATCCACTCATTCAGTGAGTTAGCCATTCATTCACTTACTCACACTCACACATTCATGTGCACAGCCACTCACTCTTCTATCCATTCACCTCCCATCCATCCATCCATCCATCAATCCATCTGTGGTAGTTACATTTGTATGTCAACTTGGCTGGGCCTGGTTGAGTGGCTGGGCAGCTGGTGGTAGTTATTCCCCATGATGAGACTGGCAATCACCTCCATGGTGGGATCTACTACAAGCAGCTGAGTAGCTGCCTTTGGGATGTGGTCTGGTTCCCATATATAAGGAGAAGCCTTGGGAATGGTCTCTAGCTTATGGCACGCTTGGGCCCTGCATGTAGCCGTGTCGTTGTTGAGCAGCCTGCCATGCTTTGCCAACCTTGGGACTTAACAATGGACTTGAATTAATGGCCTGCCATGTGGTTTGGTAACATCAGGACTGTGCCGTTTTATTTGTTGACCTTGGGCTTGTTAGCCTCAGCAGCCAGTAGCTGCCTGAGTGAAGAGATGCCTCTAGCTTCAGTGGGCCAGGAGCAAGAGGCAGAGCTGAAGCCCAAGGTTGAGGAGTTTTCACACCACCCCTAGAGCCTGGCACTTTGAACTCAGACTTCTAGCCTCCTGAACTGTAAGAAAATAAACTCCTGTTTGTTAAGGCCATCCCATTTGTGGTATATTCTTGTCAGAGTGGCACTAGGTAACCAGAACACCACCCATCCACCCCCCATCCATCCATCCATCCACCCACCCATCCACCTATCCATTCATCCATCCACCTCTCCATCCATCCACTCATCCATCCATCCATCCATCTACCCATTCACCATCCATCCACCCATTCATCCTCTTGCCCAACTATCCTCCTATCCACACCTCCTCTCATCCACCCATTTTCCCATATAACCTTTTATCCATCCATCCTTTATTGAGCACCTACTGTGTTTCCCACACAAAGCTCCCGAGGCTCCCAGAGTGCTTTTCACCCACTTTTGCTCCTACTTCAAGTCACAGATAGGAAGGCAGGACCCCCAGCTCTTCAGTCTTCAGGTGCCAAGGTTCCAGTCTCCTCCTTTGGAGGAGGTTCAGGAAAAGTGGGCGGTCTAGGCACAGACACAGTGTGCATGGCAGAGCAGTTACAGCCACCTGAGACCTGGGGCCCTTCCCACTTTTGGATTTAGGGGTCATGCATAATCCCCAGCGTGAGGCCCCGGGGTGATGTTTCCAGTTTCTTGGGTCCCATCTCTTGCCTCTCCCAGGCTACAACAGAGCTCTAAATCATGGTGACTTAGGCCAGCTCCTTGAGGTGCACCCTGGGGCTTCTCTCTTTAGTGGAAAAGCAAATACATTGCCGGAGAGAGCCACTGACACTCAGAGCCATCAGTGACGGGCAAGGGGAGTCCAGGCAATCTGGAGAAAGACCATGGCATCTGAGGAGGGACTTCTGGCTCCTAATGGATCCAAAGAGGACATACAAAAGTGAAGTGGGGAGGGATATTCCTCACACGCCCCTATGTGTCCCACATCTACACCTTCACGTACACCGTTCTCTACACCTGTACCTCCTCTCCATTTCCTGTTTCTGCCTGACTGGCTCCAATTCAACTTCCAGTTTGCATCTTGGCTGCGATGCCACCGTCTTCAGGAAGCCTTCCCTGAGTCCTCACAGTGCTGCTCTTGTCTCCAGCCCCGTTGTTACTGCCCCTAGTAGGGCCTCAATAAATATTTGTTGAATGAATGAGTGAATCTCCATTTTACAAATGAGGAAATTAAAGTTCCCCATCTTCCTCCCCCACCCCAACCCTTTACCAGCCAACTCCTTCTCTTTCAGATTTCAGTCAAAATGTCAATTCCCAGGGGGGCTTTCCTGGACCCTGAGACTAGGCCACTGCTCTTTCCTGTTCCCTTAGCACCCCTTCACCCCTGCTCTTCACACCTCTCCCCCACTCCCCTCTCACCCCCGCTGCACTCTCCCTGCTGGTTTTCCTGTCTCCTGGCAATCCAAGAGCAGGTCCTCCTCCCCGTTTGCACAGAGGAGGAAACCAAGGCTCAGAGGAGACAAGTGACCTGCTCAAAGTCACAGAGGGGGTGGCCGTGCCAGGGCCAAGACCCCTGGCCCATGACTACTTTCTTTTTTCCATCCACATGACCAAGGCACTTTATTAATTCGGTTTTATTTGAAAATCAGGATGGCTGCAGGCAGTAATCATAGCAAAGCAAATACTGTTTTATGACTATTTTCAAGGCCATGTCCACCTCACCAATCTGGGGCAGGCAGGGCTCAGGGGTGTGTATGTGTGTGTGAGTCCTGTGTGTCTGCCTGTAGGTGGCCTGGGCTAAGCCAGCCCCACCAGAAGGAGGTTGGATATTAGTCCGGGCGCGGGGTTGTCTGGGAATTGGGCGTGCCCACGGGCTCTGCATCTCTCCTCCAGCTTGAATTGCCGAGTGAGTCAGCTCCAGAGCAAGAAGCTCGGCCGCCTGCCTGGAGCCACCAGGGAGCCAGCCCATGGCAGAGCCGCCCTTCTCCCTGCTGCCCAGATGGAGAGGCTGGCCATGGCACCCCTGGCCTTCCCATGCCCCCGGATACCACGGGCCCACATCGCCAGGCAGCCGGGGCACTGTGCCAGGCACTGGGCAGAGCTGGGCTGCAGGTACGGGCATTGCAGGGAGGGAGAGGGAAGGTTTGGGCCAGCCTGTGGGACAAGTCGAGGACCTACTACGTGCCAGGGGCATATGTTATCACCCTGAGTCCTGATAACACCTGGGAGGCAAGGATGTTCCTCCCACCACACAGGTGAGAAAACAGAAGCTCTGAGAAGTCAAGCTAATTTGCTCCAACTCACCCCGCTGGCAGGTGGTAGAGGGGGCTCTCAAACTCAGGCTCTGGCTGAGACCTCCCACCTACCTTGGTCTTGCTGCTGGTCTCCTGAAGGGGGTGGGGGCCACTGATTCTTGGATTCCTCGACATGCCATTTCCCAATTTCCCAATTCCCTTTGCTTGTAAAGAGCATTAGGGACCGGATTCTTGTTTGGAGTGCCTGGGTGGAACAAATGGTTTCATGCACTCAGGTGCTAACCAAAAAGTTAGGAGTTCAAGCACACCCAGGGGCTCCTCGGAAGAAAGATCTGGCAACCTGCTTATGAAAACTCAGCCTTTGGAAACCCAATGGGGCTCCGTTCCAGTCTGACACACATGGGGTCACATGAGTCAGAATCAGTAGCAACAAGGTTTGAGTTTTGTTTTGTCTTATTTAGACTCAAAGGTCAGGCCCTTAAGCTGTGACATTTCAGCCGCTGGGGCTGCATATGGTCAAGTCTTGGCTGGGACCTGGGCTGCCTCTGCTTCCTGTACAGTGTGCCTCTGACAGCCAGAGCCAGGATTTTGTAGAAGGCAATTTGTTCTACCGTGATTACAGCATATTTTAATATATTATAAAACTCCAAACAGCACGGAGAATATACAATTACTCCCTGGAATTAAGCACTAGTAAAGGAGCTCTGGTGGTGCAGTGGTTAAGTGCTTAGGAGCTAACCAAAAGGTTAATGGTTCAAACCCACCAACAGCTCTGCAGGACAAGGATGTGGAAGTTTGTTTCTGTAAATATTACAGCCTGGGAAACCCTATGGGGCAGTTCAAACTCAACTGGCAACAATGGGTTTGGGTTTTACTGGTTGAAGCTTTGGCTGTTAACCATTGTGCCACCAGTGCTCCTGGAGGAATGTGGCTAAGTGCTAGGATATGGGTAAGCCCAGAGCATTAGGGAAGGGCTGCAGGGAAGGCTTCCTGGAAGAGGTGATGCCTGAGCTGAATCCCAAAGCAGGCACTAATCAGGTCAAGGATGGGAAGGAGAGGGTGTTCCTAGCAGCAGCTGCAACTTGGGCAAAGCTCTAAGTCAAGAAGCAGCCTGATGCCTCTGGAGAAGCGTAAGTAGCTTAATGTGCCTGACACAGAGAGTGGGACACAGAGGAGGGTGGGTGGGAGTCTGATTTCATGCTCTGAGTCCTCATTTCAGGCTCTGACTCTTAAGCCCTTAAGTGCCCAGGTGGAAGAGGGAGGTCTTTATCTGCTATAAAGATCAATGCACCAAGGAAAAGGTTAATGAGATGAGTCCTCACCCCTTGGCCAACCTTGAATATTTTATGTTCCTTTTTTATAAGAGGGAGCTGTGGTGGCATAGTACCTAAGGCATTTGACTGCTAACCAGAAGGCGGTCAAACCCACCAACCACTCCTTGGAAGGAAGATTGGGCAATCTACTTCTGTAGAGATACTGCCTTGGTAAACCAAGGAGGGGTCACTATGAGTCGGGATCAACTCAACGGCAGTGAGTTGTTTTATTTGTGTGTGTGTGTGTTTTTTATAAGAAGTCTTTAAAGTCTAGTGGATATTTTTCATTTCCAGCCTGTCTCCATTAAGATGCTAAGTTGTCGTTGGAAATACTAGATCTGTATTTAGATATCTTACAATTTACAGGTGACAAAGTAGATTCACATACCCAAATTGTCCCAAACGTATTTACATGTTTTCCAGTAACTGAATCAAGTAATTGCCTTTTGAATTTAAAGTAATTAAAATTAAATAACATTTAAAAGCCACCTCCTCAGTCACACCAAGGACATTGCAAATGCTCCAGGGCTGTGGGTGGCTCATGGCTACCATATCTGCCGGCAAGAGTCTGCGCTTCACCCAGCAAATACAACAGCAATCTGATTAAAGTGACTCAGGAGGGGACAAGCCAGCGTCAAAGGCCTTGCTCAGAGGAAGGAACAGAGCAAGCCTCAAACCATTACAGAACTTCTCCAACTGCCCTGGTAGGCGCGTAAGGGGTGCACCGGTCGCTTCGGTCCCAAGATGGCTGGAAGGCTTGCAGTAGCAGCCCAGCGACCGCCAAGCTGACTCTGACCCACGGTGGCCCCGTGTGCATCAGGACAGAACTGTGCTCCACAGGGTTCCGTGGCTGATTTTTCTGAAATAGATCCCCGGGTCTTTCTTACATGGCATCTCTGGCAGATTCAAACCTCCAACCTTAGGTTAACAACAAGTATGCTAACCATTTGCCCCACCAGGCACTCCAGGCTTGCAGTCCAGAGCAGTGGAAGGAGCTCTGGTGGCATAGTGCCTGAGGCATTTAACTGCTAACATGAAGGTTGGTGGTTCAAGCCCACCAGCCACTCTGTGGAAGGAAGACTGGCAATATATTTCCATAAAGATTTATCACCTCGGAAACCCAAAGGAGCTCACTATGAGTTGGAATCAACTTGATGGCAGTAAGTTGTTTGTTTTTTTTTTAATGCAGTGGAATATTACTCAGACATAAACAGATAGGACGTTCTGATACGTGCTACCACATGGCTGAACCTTAAAAACATTATGCTCGTGAAATCAGTCAGATACAAAAGGCCAAATACTGTGTAATCCCAGTTAGAGGAAATGTGTGGAACAGGCAAATGCAGAGAGGCCAAAATTTGTTACTGTTTACCCACCAGGGAAGGAGCTCTGGTAGCAGAGGGGCTAAGCACTCAGCTGCTGACCACAAAGCTGGCAGTTCGAACCCACCAGCTGCTCCATGAGAGAAAGATGTAGCAGGCAGCTTCAGTAAAGATTAACCAGGAAACCACACCCCCTGCCACAGAGTCAATTCCAACTCCTAGCTACCCTACAGGACAGAGTAGAATTGGGCCATAGGGTTTCCAAGGCTGTAAATCTTTACAGAAGCAGATTGCCTCATCTTTCTCCCACAGAGTGACTGGTAGGTTAGAATTGCCGACCTTCTGCAGCTCAGTGCTCCGTCCCAGAAAGACTACAGCCTTGGAAATGCTGTGGGGCAGTTCTGCTCTGTCCTATAGGGCCACTCTGGGTCAGAATTGATTTGACAATGGATTTGGTTTGGACCTACAATAGGGGAGAGGGAGTAGAAAGTTATTGGTTAAGGGGTCCTGCATTTCTTGTTGGGGGTGGAATAATTATGGAAATAGATAGCGGTGATGGTTTATACAGCATGATGAATGTAATTAATGTCACTGAATTGTATACTTAAAACTGGTTAAAATGGGCAATGTTTTGAGATGTGTGTGTGTGTGTGTGTATACACACATATATATAAAACCAAAACCAAACTCATTGCCACAGAATCAACTCCGAATCATAGAGACCCCTCCTTGGGTTTCCCAGGCGGTATCACTAAGGAAGTAAATTGCCCAATCTTCCTTCTGAGGAGTGGCTGATGGGTTTGAACCGCCAGCCTGCTGGTTAGCAGTTAAATGCCTTAGGCACTATGCCACCAGAGCATATGTGTGTGTGTGTGTGTGTGTGTATAAAATTAACTCACTGCTGTTGAGTCCATTCCAACTTATGGTGACCCCATAGGACAGAGCAGAACTGGCTCATGAGAGTTTAAGGCTGTAAAACATTATGAAAGCAGATGGCCTCATCTTTCTCCCGCAGAGTGGCTGGTGGGTTTGAACTGCCAATCTTTGGGTTAGCAGTCAAATGCTTTAACCACTGCACCACCAGAGCTCCTTCTTATATATATCACCATAATAAAATGCTTTTTAAAATGCAGTGGTGGTGGCCAGCCTGCTACTTTAGAGTCTGGTAGAGCCTGATCTTCTGGTTGGGAACCTCCATCACCTCAGAGGTCATGGGCAATACCTTGATCTCCCTAGCCATCTGAAAAATGCAGCCTGCCCCTCCCAGAAGTGCCATGAGAAAATTTCGATACAGTTCCCACCCCCCCTCTTGAAAGCTTCCGGGCAATTCTCTGAAACCCTGGCAGCAGGATAATGCTTGTTGGCAATGCTGCCCCACGTGGCTGCACTGTGGAATCGACTGGACAGCTTGTAGCAATACCAGCACCCAGGTCCCACTCCCAGACGACCAGGTGTACTTGGTCTGAGCACCTGGACTTTGGAATTACCGCGTGATTCCAATACACTGCCAAGGCCAAGAGTCCCTGGTCCCCCCCACCAGAATCCAGCTCCTCAGTCCCAGCCTGGGTCTGCTGGGTCTCTGGTCCTTGCTTCCCTTGGCCAGCTGAAGGGACCACCCACGGCTACACTTTTACCACACACCTGGCCAAGCCTCAGATCTGATTCCAAAACCAAAACCAAACTCACTGCCATCGAGTCGGATCCGACTCATAGTGACTTGGCCCTCCTTGGGTTTCCAAGGCAGTTTCACTGAGGAAGTAGATTGCCCGACCTTCCTTCTGAGGAGTGGCTGGTGGGTTTGAACTGCCAGCTTTCTGGTTAGCAGTCAAATGCTTTAGGCACTACGCCACCAGAGTTCCCCAGATCTGATTCAGGAAACAAAATTATTTTATATTTATTATATTTTAGGATGTTTTGCTCTTGTTATTTATAACACAAAAGAGCCATGCTTATTAAGTCTACCACCCAGACATCATCTCTAGCAGAATTACAATGTGGAAGAGGTGTGAATGGGCACACTGACTGGAATGAGCCAGTCTTCCCTGTCTTAAAGGAAGAGTTGTCTTAGAGGGATTTTAGGAGTTCAGTGAGGATGATACTTAGAAATGTAAATGCAGGATTTGCCTTTTATAACATCTCAATCCTGTACAACTTCCCCCCATCCCTGAGGTCCCCATCTTTGAAGTGATTGCTTCAGAGATAGCAGTGTTGCTGTGTACTGA